CGGAATTTTTAAAAATCCAAATTTTCGAACAAGTATCAGGGGAGCATGAAAATCGAGGAGGTATTCTCGTTCGAAGAGTTCGACTCTGTAATGGCTCGATTATTCCTGACGATGTCCTAAATCGATTCTAGTCCTCTCGTCCTGTATACAAATACTGAAAATTCTAGTATCGAAGGCGAGAAAAGAAGACAGCCAGGGAATACTTTATTGACACGTAAATTTATTATCAACTTAAATACGAAAAAAATACGGTAGTTGTTTAGTAGAGTTTTTCTCTAATCAGCACCTTCGTTGCTCGAATGGTTGCTTCTGTGAAAGTGCACTGAAGGTTTTCGTAAAAGGGTATGGTTTATTGACTCGATTTTCTCCCCGAATATTAGTACGGAATTTCGCTATTCATTGGCCAATAAATTCGCATCTGTTGGCATTCCTTACGCTTGTAAATTCAGTGGAATCCATAAACCGCCGAGGAATTTTTTTTTATTTCACCGAGCTTTTATTGGTAAACTCGAAATTAACGATGTGGAGAAAATGGACGTATAACAAATCTAAAGCTACAACACAAGATAAATAGAGAATATATTTCCAAATTCGTTTTTGGCATTTAGAAAATATAGATTTTTCTTATTCTACGAGGGGGCACATTTCATATGAATATCTTATAAATTTCACCAAAAACAATCACAAATTGTTCTTGAATAATATTTTTCGAATTAGTTTATTAGCGATACGTGTAACTTTACAATCGTACAGTTATAATTTTATGAAAATACTTTGCACTTGGGTATGAGAGATTTTTTCCACTATATGATGTAACTCTTATTTCGTTATTTGTAGCATAGAATGAAACTTTTGGATGAATGAGTAGGTGAAAAGAATGTTGACATCGGGGGGCTATTCTCTGCTATTATTCCTAAAGGGTATTTTTAGGATAGACTCTCGGATGAAGTAGAAAAATTCAGCCACGTGGGAATATTGCCGTAAATAATTCTGTTCAGGGTTATGGAACATGAATGGGAGAAGATCATGAATGGGCAAAAAAAATTATCTCAAATATATAAACGTTACCTACTACAGTTATAGTTACAACGACTTCAATGAAATTTTAATTAATTTGCATGAAATTGAAATTAAAAAATATGATAAGGTTTGTAAAGATTTTAAACCGAAAACTCCGAGCAATTGCGTAACTTCATATAATATATCCCTGAATTAAATTTCCAGTGCTGACACTAAAATTTTTCTAATGAAATTCTCCGTGTACTGAATGACTGCGTGGTTTTTTTTATTATGTCCAAAACGATAGCGTCAAGTTAATTACTCGACTGTAGTTATACCGAATTACCCCGTAAAAGGCGTAATAGGAAAATGCAAATAAAATAACACAAATTAAGGAGTTAAGACCTAAATACTCTTTCAGGGAATCCAAAACCTAGCAAGGAGATAAATTTGACGTATACTGGCGAAAATATAAGAATTGTTTAAAATTTTGTCATAATGTTTTTGAAGCGATAACAGATGCCTGTATAAAATTTGAGATTGATTTTATTGAAATTTTTTTGAAATTTTTAAAATTTACTATAGAAACAGATATAAAACGAGGGCAAAAATTGAATGAGGGTTGACTAAATTTTTGTCTTAGCTTTGGC